CCCCCCCCGGTGGGGGGGGGCCCCCCCGCCAGCCCCAGACGCTCGCCCACCCCGAGGGGGCTGCCGGGCACAGCCCATGAGCCGTGGCTTGCTGCTGGCCCCCAAAGCTCGTTAAATTCCCAAGGGGCGTCTCAAAACGAGCCGGAGCCCGAAGCACCGAGCTGCTTTGGGAGGGATTATCCTGGTCTGCACTGGCACTGGCACTCGGGGTGCCATCCGCTTAAAGCCAGACTGCCACGGAATATAGAGCAGCCTCCAATCACTTGATTAAATGTATCTGAAAACGTCTTTAATTAAGAGACATGAACAATAAGAGAGCATCTGACCTTGCTAAAATTCACTCCATAAGCTGCAGCACAGGTAAAGCACTGCCGCGCATCTCTGCAAGCCACCTTAATTAACCCTTTTTAATTAAAGCAACGCTCATTAACGCTGGCCGCTTCCCTGCGAGGCGGGTGACGGGGCATGGCGGGGCTTTGCACGGAGCCCAGGACAGAGCTGTGAGGGGCCCGTCCCCCCGTCCCCCCGTCCCCAGCGCGGACGATGCCCTTACCGGTGTTGTGAGCCTCCAGCTGGGAGAGGGAGTTGACGGTCACTTTGCAGGTGGGACAGTACAGGTGCTGTTTGCTCTTCTGCCCCTCCTTCTCGCTCTCGGGGGCCGAGCTGACGCTGCTGCCCGACTCGGCCGCCTGCGCCTCGGCTGCCTGCGCGGCGGAGGATGCCACGCTGGTGGCGTCCGAGGTGCCCTCCGACAGCTCCGAGGCTGGCGGGGAGCCCAGCGGGGCGACGCTGCCCGACAGCTCCGCGGGTGACTCCTCGGCGCCGGGCGTCAGCCCCAGGCTGCTGCACTCACCCTCCGGCTCCTGCAGGCCGTTGGCTTCAGCTGGCGGCAGGGGAAGGAAAAGGGGGAAAAGGGGAAGAAAAGAAAGAAATGGGCAGAAAGAGAGAGTTCTCTGTGCTGGAACGGGTTTTGTGGATTTTAGAGATCACCCTTGTCGCCCCCGAGACCACCTCGGGCACTGTCTGCTCACGTTCATCCCTGTGGAGGACGGCTCTTCCCAAGGTCTCTCCTGTTACTGCTTTTATCTGCGGCTGGTGGCAGCCCAGCTCAGCACAGGAGCTCCGGCGCTGCCTCGGCTCAGGGGGTTCCGGCTCCTTCCAGCCCCGTCCCTGCGCGGGGCAGAGCCCTGGGGACCCGCGAGCCCTCACCGGGGCACGGGCAGGACACTGCAGCCCTTATCTCCCAGACACACCACATCCCGGGGGAATACCCGCTGTTTCCCCACACGGCTGCAGAGCGGCGTAGGAGCCATCAGCTCCGGGGATGGATTGCCACCCCTTCCCCGCGAGGCTGCCCCAGCCGGGCACGCCGGGCACGCCGGCAGAGCACAAAAGCTCATTTATTAACACTCGCCGTCGCATCTATGCCGCACTAATCGCAGCCCTCCTCATCCCGCCCAGCAGCTGCCCGTGGCGGGATGCTCAGACACGAGGCTGCTGCGGTTCAGGATACAATGGGGCTC